CCAACGAGATGGATCAGCCAGGTGGCATCATTGATGGACTCAGGGGTGGCAGCGGTGGTGAGGTTGGCCCAGGATCGAGCATTGTTTCATTCTGCTGTGCATGGGGTCGCTATGAGTCGGTTCCGACTCGATGGCACCTGACAACAACAACAACAGTACCTAAGATATCGATGTCTATGAGTTCCATTTCATTTTTGACAACTTCCAATTATCCCAGATTCATACTTCATACATCCCATGTTCCGATTTTCAATGGTTTATTTAAAACTGTTTCTCTTCACTTTGAGTTGTGCCCCATCAGCAAAAGAAGGTCCAGTGGGCTTTTCTCCTATGGGCTTTTCTCCATTTGTGTCATCACGGTCAACTCTCCTTTGAGGAGGCAGCCCTTCCCCAGTCACATTTTGAGTGCCTTCCAACGTGAGGGGCTCAAATCCTGGCACTATATCTGACAGTGTTTCTCTGCTATTCATAAGGTTTTCAGTGACTAAATATTTCGGTAGTTCGTCATTCCTTCTTCCTAGTCTGTCTTCGTCTGGAAGCTCATCTGAAACGTGTCCACCAGGGGTGACCCTGCTGGTTATTTAAAATACTGGTGGCATAGCTTCTGAAATCACAGAAACTCACAAGCCACCACAGTACAACAAACTGACAGACGAGTGGTGATTTATGATATTGGGTTGGTCAAAATTTCTTAAGAATAGATTCGGTGACTCTAATACATGATTTCATATTATCACTCAAACCTGTGATTTCCATTTACTCTTGAACACAATTCTTTTTTTGTGTAAGCCACGATTCTTTTTTTGTGTAGTATTCTCCTAATCACACACACAACTTGGACCTTTTAGCTCCTGACATTTGCCTCTGATGTTCTTTCCAACAAAATTCCTCCTTTATTGTTAAACCTGGTGCCTAGCACATGGTAGGTGCTACTCAATAGCTAGATAAATTGCATTTAAGGGTCACAAGGTATCTATCCTCTTCCCATAGAGTTCCCTGGCTATTCTACTCCATAGTGATCATTCCTGTCACTACACTTCTATAGGATTTTCAGACAGATGCATGAAATATCTGAGCATAAAACAGTACTTGGAGGGGGTCTTTGTAAAACCACTTTTAAAAGATATTTTAAAATACTACCTATCTAACCTAGATTCCTGGTGCTTATCTGGTAAGATAAGCACTGGATCACAAGGCCAGCTTGAACTGCAAGGTCGATAGTTCAACTCCACTAGCTGCTCATCAGAAACTCTATACAGGGTTGCTATGTATCGAAACTGATTTGATGGCACTTAACAGCCATCTAGGTTAAGGGTCCTGGTGTAGTGTTGTAGGATAAACAATGAACTGCTAGACTCAAGGTTGGCGGTTCAAATCCACCAGCTTCTCCTCAAAAGTCTTATATAGGGTCTCAGTGAGTTGGAACTGACTTGATGGTACTTAACAACAACAACAATCTAGACTAAGGTGTATTTTTAATATTTGTCAAATATATTGTCTTAACATTGTTTTTTGCTGCTAAATGCTATATAGTTGGTTCCGACTTACAGCGACCCTGCAAAGGTTTCCGAGGAGCAGCTGGTGGGCTTGAACTTCCAACCTTGTGATTTGCACTCTAGCGCTGATCCTACAGTGCCAGACTAGGAGCCCTTTATTAACATGTTGCTGTGGTTGTTAAGTGCTGTCGAATTAGTTCTGACTCAGCAACCCTGTATAGCGTTTCCAAGAAGCTGCTGGTGAGTTTGAGCCACTAGCCTTGCGGTTCAAACCAAGCTTGCGGTGCAGTGCTTTAACCCACAGCACCACACTAGGGCTCAATATCACATATACATATTTGTAAAACATGGGGAGCAAATGCTAGAGAGAGATAATTATTCCTTACTGAAAGGAATTTATAGGGGAAAAACCACAAAACAGTATGAGATTATACTCTTATATCAGGAGGCTTAAAAAGTTTGTGGAAAGATGAAATGAAAAAATAATGGAATGTTCCACAAACTTTTTGAAGCCCCCTCAACATAGCAGAGAGACTAAGGGTAGTTTCAACCTGGGCTGTGTCCTAGACGTCCTTCTTTAAAGTGACAGCTAAGTGGGTGATCTGAGCATATTCATCCTTGCTACAATCGCCTTTCTCTTAATGGTTGTCAGAAACTTCTTTTTCCAGGGTAGAGTGAGGAGGATGTATTCTTCTTTAAAATTTTCTTTTATGCTATGTATTTGAACCTGGTGTGGTACTATAGTAAAAGCACTCAATCGCAAGGTCAGTTTGAACCACAAGGTTGGTGGTTCAAACTCAACAGGCACTCCTCGGAAGCAACTCGACAGCACTTAACAACAACAATAATGATATTTATGGACTCCTGGCATGGTGCTATAGGTTCAGCACTGGACTGCGAACCACAAGGTAAGGAATTTAAACACATTAACTGTTCCTTGGAAACCCTATAGGGTTGCTCTTAGTCAGAACCAAATCCAACAGCTTTTAACAGCAGCAACATAATACTATTTACACAATACATTGTTTAAAATAAGAAAATTTATTCTAGGAGTTGTATCAAGCGATTCCACTCTAGGTATGGACGACACTTGTCTGTTCCTCTTGGTTCAGACAAGTTCTCCAGGGTTCTCTGAGCCTAGGCTTTGATGACCAGCATGGTGGGGTGGCAGACACCTGGCCGAGTGGGCTCTGTCTCCTTCTCCTCCTTGAAGTTCGTCCCTCCTCAGCTGGAGGCCCACTGAGAATGGCAGAGAGGGAGATGATTCTGCAGCTCAAAGGAGGGACAACTACAGGGGCTCCTTCTGAGGTCTACCCTTGGTACTTTGTACTCAGCACCCACTGGGAAAAGGGCATGGAAGGAAGTGGCACCTGTGAGCTAACCCACACTTTTCTTCCATCAGGCCATGTCTGCAAGCATTTCATCTTCTCTCAGTTCCATCCTTTTTCTTCAGGGTCTGTCTCTGCTCCCTAGCATGATCACCCACTCTACCCCTTGAACCAATGGAGCAGGAAATGGGGTCTTGGGCTTTGAGATCAACCCTCTGAAGTTTGAGCTTCACCCCCACCTCTCCATCCCCAGGACACTGAGATTCCCTCCCAGGGCTCCCTTACCCCCTTGAGGCCTCAAACCCAGGAGTTGGAAGAACTCCTTACCCACAGGCTCACTGCACAGACGGGCCAAGGGGATGCAAGGGTTGAATGGGTGGCTAGTCCTAAGTCATCTGAATGGCAAATGGCCACCGTGGGACTAATATCAGATTTCCTTGTGCCCAATCAACTCAATGGCGCTTAACAACAACAACAACAACCAACAGCCACAGTTAAGTATAGTTTCAATAGGCAATTTATCTATTGCCATTTGAAATCTTGGTGTGGCACTGTAGGATAAGCACTGGACTGCTAATGGAAAGGTTGGTAGTTCAAATCCAACAACTGCTCCTCGGAAACCTTATATAAGGTCACTGTGAGACAGAACTGACTCGATGGCACTTAATAACCATAACAACAATTTACTGTTCCTATGCTACTTATTCTCTGAAACAAAGATTAAAAGTTCACTATCCATGGGAGAAAGATGAGGCTTTCTGCTCCCATAAAGATTTACAGCTTTAGAAACCCTGTACAGAGTCATTGAGTCGGAACCAACTCCACAGCACATAAACACCACCACCACCATATGCAAAAAGCACATAGGAGGTTTGGGTAGCAAGGGGTTCGCCCCCTCCCTAGACTAGGCTAGCCAGGGACCACCCTGAGCCTCAATTTTTTCATTTAGCCCATGAGAGTATCTGCCTTTTTCATAAGGTAGTTAAGGAAATTAAATGAGATAATGTCTGAGAACGTATTCAGAAAGAGGTGTACAACAGAGTCCTCTGAAAAGAACACTGAAGAATTTGAATTTCATAGTACAAAAGACTCTGACTAAAATATTGATTCCATTTAGAAATTAATTAATTAATCATATTTAAATACAACTTTTATAAGATACACACTCATGGACTATCAAAGATGCTCAACTGAAATGGAAATACAGAAAAACTTACAATGTATATATGCAGCATCTAGGAAGAAAGCATTTTAAAAAAGATTAGAACCTTGAGCTCAAACCCTGGCATCTGGATAAAATCAGAGATCAAAGTAACACCACCCCAAATTTTAAGATAATAAATACTTTCCCCCTTATTACTGTAATCCAAAATAGCCTGGAAAAGAGAGAAAGAAATATTATATTTCCTTCTAAAAGGCCTGCCCCAATTAAAATTCTAAATGTCTCTTATACCAAGAGCACTGGTTTATTGGCAGATTATTAAGCCCTGGACCAATGTCACTCTGTTAGACCTGTATTAAAAACGTGGTTTATGTGGTGCAGGGTCAGATCAGTAAAGAGCTGTTAGCAGATGACAGGTTTGATTACCGCTGGCTGCAGGCAAGACGTATGGATCCCTGAGGAACAGCAGCACCGGCTGGTGGGACAGTTTGCTGGAAAGGTCAAGAACAGGCATGTCAGCATCAAGGGACGACGGTAAACAGAAAACACTACAAACTAGCTTTGAGGGGATCAAACTGCTGTGTGGGGACATCTCAAGGTTTATGTATCTAACAGTGTGGGTGAATAATAGCAAACAGAGTTAGAAGGCACAAACTAACACTGTGCTCATCTTCTACAAATTTCTTTGTGGAATTTGAAGCAGATACACAATCTGTACAATAAATCACTGGTGAAAAGCTTTTTGGTTTTTTTTTTTAATCTTGTAGTATGATTATTGATAAAACAGTGTTCTCATTACTTGTATGAAACAACTTAGGGACCTTACTCCTTTGTTCCTAAAATGTGCCCCATTGTTTTCTGCATACAGTGTATTTATGTAAATAATGTGTAGGCATATAAAATGCATAGGAAACTAACATGCTAGGGGGTTGCGTGATTTACAATAGCTGTATAACATGAAAGCTATTTACATAAGATAGTATAATTAGTCATTCCTATAACTTCCTATCAAATATTTACAATCTTAAAACCAATTTTCTGACAAAGGTTTTTAAGGAAAACTACTTAGAAACATTTATGCCATGGGTAATTAAACATGTAACAAAACCACAGTCCCATTCTTGGTGTATATAACTTGAAATTGACAAGTATCTGTTTTCACCTTGACTCTTCAGATTCTGTCTCTTCAAAAGACCTAAAAAATGTTTAAACAGAAAAAGAAAATGTATAAACTGGTCAATATCTATGTGAACAAAGGGGGGAAAGCCAGTATTCTCACAGTACTGCATTAGGAAACGTTTTGAAAAACGTGTTAGGATTTTTCAGAGTCACAGCATGACAAATGTCTTGTTCTAGGGACTCATGTAAGACTGAGATATTCCTGAATTTCAATTTTCCTAAAGATCACTTAAAATACTATTGTTTTATTCCTGCTGCTGGGCATATCCAATAGAGAAAGGATCTCATTCACTGTAACATCCAACTCTCTTCTTAAAAACAAATGAAGCCCAATCTCCCAGTAAATGCCTTGGAGTTGGAACAGAACACACTGACGACACATATTATTTGATGAGAAAAGTCAAGTCTAATTCTTGCTCTGAGGTGATTGGGTAAGTGGTGAGAGGCTCTGCTCGAAACCAACACTGCCAGTGAGGGGGCTGGGGCGGGGGAACCAAGGACTCTCATCCAGCTGCAGCTGGGGTTTGACAGACTTTGGGTGTGGTTCCCTTACCCTAAACATTCTGTAATTAGTGTAGTTCACTCAGGCTGGTCTGGAGGCAGGAGGAAAATGGATAAAACCTTCTCCTGCTAGGATTTGCAGAGTTGGTGATGACTCATTTCTTCGTCAATGGATTTACTATGTCAGGGATGTTGCTGGCTGTTTTCTGAGGCTAGCTCAGCCCTAGTTTTGCACCCAGAACGTTCCAGAGTTTCAGAGTTAATTCTTAAGAAGGGTTTTTTCAATTGCTGGTATCAAAACTCTGATTCCTTAGTAGATAAAGATGAGACTCTCCAATCCTTTCTTAGGTATAACTTGAGAGATACTGGGAAAAGGCGCTTAACTCCTTGTGTCTCAGTTGGCTCAACTATTAATTGAGGGGGGACGGGGGTGAGTAAGATCATCTCTAAGGTCACTTACAGCTCTAACATTATGAGTGTACGTGCCAAAGGAACATGAACTTTGCATGTTGTTGTTAAGTACAATTGAGTTGATTCCAACTCATAGAGAGCCTGCATAGGATTTACGAGGAGTGGCTGGTGGGTATGAACCATCGATTTGTGGTAAGCAGTCCAGTGTTATCCTACAGCGCCACACTAGGACCCCATCCACAGGTAAGCAAATTAGCCCCTAAACAGGCTATCAAGATACATAATTCCCCATATATAATTTCTCTTTATGTAACAGCTCAATATAAAAGTCTATGTACAGCTGTTTTATGAGGCTGTGTAACACTCTATGTAACATTCCATGTAATGAGTGCTGGTAGCACAGTGGTTACGGGTTGGGCTGCTAACTTCAAGGTCAGCAATTCGAAACTACCAGCTGTTCCATGGGAGAAAGATGAGTCTTTCTGTTCCAGTAAAGATTTATAGTCTCGGAAACCCTATACAGGGTCTCTGTGAGGCAGAACCTATTCCATGCCACACCACTACCACCACCACCATGTAACAGCTAATTTAAAAGATCAGTTCTCTCAGTCTTAACAAAATAGATGTTAGAGGAATTCCTCTGACTACAGGCAGGGGGCAAGTGAGTACTATTCCAAACCAAGAAAACGGGTGTGGCCAAACTGGCCCTTCTGGCACCACCAGTTATATTTGTTAGACCAGTAAGCTACTGAAAAGTATATTAAAATACATGTCCACTTTGTATCATTAATGCTTACCCACAACTCTCTGCTTTTGGTAGAGAAGGTAAGTGTCGCACATTTAGGAAATCAAGAAACAGTTTGGGTAGTTCTTCATTTTCTAGAATGACAGCCTGTGAAAGCAGAAACCAGAAACTGAAGTTTGCTAAGCAATCAATCAAATGAACTATTTCAAAAAGTCATAACCATCCATCAAGTTTTTACCAGCATCACTCCTCACAGCAGACATGAGGAATGGCCCCCATTTTGCCCAGCAAGAATTCAGGCCAACAAACATGCTATTAAGTGTCAAAAAAATGCAGTATTTTATTTAATTTTCCACTCAACCAGTATTTGCAGAACACTCACAAATGATGAGCTAAGGCACTAGAAATTTGGGAATCAGGTAGACAAGAAGAGTCTCAGTCTTCATGGAGATTCTAATCCAGGATAAAGCCTTCAAAACTTGGGAATCTCAGTATATTGATATTGATACTCATATTATCTGGGGATTAAAATTTTTTAGGGAAAAATTTGAATTAAAAGATGATAGATTATTTTCACAACATTTTGAACCTTTCTTGTACACATATATTTCCACAAAAGACCACTGTAGTTTAGGAATACTATAAATGTTTTTCCTAACTGAAAAACTTTAGTCAAGACTTCCTCGGCTCTAACAGTTTCCTCATTAGGATCAACTGATATTTCTTGCAATTTAGACAACTCCATTTAAAGGGTCAGCAACAACTTTACCACTAAGTATAGATCAGCATATGTATATTTTTAAAATCTACTGTTTTCCCATTTAGGGAGCTCTGCTTAATAGCTGGCATAATGGCATAACCATGTAATTATTCAAATATCCATATTATGCAACTTCAAAGAGAAATCTGATAGTGTTAAATATATGGTGTATTTTCATCTATATGCATTTTAAAAAGATTCTGCCAGTATTTTAACAGATTTTGCACTTAAAACAAAGCCCAGGAAACAAAAGCATCAACGTCGTATAATAAAATCTATAATTCATATAATTATTCTTAAGTGTTATTACAATTTACCATAATTAAGTTTTTTCCAAAAGTACATATTGCTAAAAGAACAAGGTGAAATGATGGTGAGATTTAATTCACACAGCTCATTAGGCATAGCTATGCAGGCTGATGCACTGGAGTTGGTTCCAACACACAGCAACTCTGCATAGATTTCTGAGGCTGTAAATCTTTATGGGTGCAGAAAGCCTCATCTTTGTCCTGCGGAACAGCTGCTAGTTTTGAACTGCTGACCTTGAGGTTCGCAGTCCGATTTGTAACCACTACGCTACCAGAGCTGCTTATAAGGTATATAACAAATGACAAAAACAAGGTCAAATCGTGTATACTGTATATACACCTAACTCCATATATATTGTCTCATTTTTAGCCACAATTAACAAATTGAGTTGTTCTATTTCTTGAAGGGCTTTGAAATACTGTTACCCATTCCAGGGTAACACTGAGGGACTACCTAGATTGCCAGTGAAACCCAGGCTGACCTCTGACCTCAGCATTCCTCTCCTGCTCAACTATCAACTGTCTGGGGTTGTTCCTATTACACAGCCCTCTGCCCACACAGAAGCTTAAGGAATAAGAGAGATAAGAAAAGTACTTGGGGCTATACTTTATTCATCCAGCAACTATTTCTTGGGTATCTATGCTACACACCAAGAAGCTCTGGTAACATAGTGGTTATGAATTGGGTTGCTAACCTCAGGGTCAGCAGTTTGAAACTACCAGCTGTTCCATGGGAGAAAGATGAGGCTTTCTGCTCCTGTAAAGATTTATAGCCTTGGAAACCCTGTACAGGGTCGCTGTGAGTCGGAGCCGACTCCACGGCATATCACGACAACAAATGCTACACACTGGGATATGGTGGTGAAGGTTCAGTGGTGCATGGGTTGGTGGAGAAAACTAGTGATAAACAAATAAAGACATACACATATAACAATTTAAATTCCCCTTAGATTACAGCAATATATAATCAAATGATTCTAAATTATTCCCCTAGCCTTAATTCTTCATCCATCCATTCATTCATCTGCATATGTATAAGTGTAGGTATGTATGTATGTATGGAGTCCTGGTGTGGCATTGTGGGTTAATGTGTCAGACTGCAAAGCTGTTTGAACTGCAAGGTTGGCAGTTCAAGCTCACCAGCTGCTCCTCAGAAACCCTATACAGGGTAGCTATGGGTCAGAATTGACTCGATGGCACTTAACAACTACAACATGTACGTATGTATCTACCCAGTATAAATGCACAAATACTCACATATACTCATAATTTACCTTTTTACTGATTACAAAGGGAATGGGTGGAGAAAATTTTAGAAAATAAAGGTAAAAAAAATTCCACTGCTCTGAGGCATAATTACATTGATATTTTAATTTATTTCCTTCATATCATTCAAACTTTATCTAAATGTTTATCTATCTGAGGAAATTTTGTTGTTGTCCCAAACCCATTGCTGTCAAGTCGATTCCAACTCATAGCAATGCTACAGGTTCAGGAGAAACACTATGGGAAGTGTCCATAGTGTTTCCAAGGCTACAAATACTGAATCAGACTACCACATTGTTCTCCAGCTGCTGGGAGGGGGTTCCAACTGCCAACCTGTCCGTTAGCAGCCAAGTGCTTAAGCAGTGCCACCATGCCCAGAACACAACAGTTCTAGAACTCATCATATGAATGAAACTCCAAGGACTTCCTGACATAAGTTGCAATGATTATCAACTTGTCTCTAGATATCTGTTTAACTGAATGATATAATACCTATATGAATAATAAAGCTTAATGTTGTAACAAGCACACAGCTGTTTGCCCAGGCAATAGTTTGAATTATGAGGACAAGTGGTAGCTTCCAGATTAAAAAAAAGAAAGGAAGAAGATGGGGAGGGGGTAACATTCTTATCTCCACCCCCACCTTTTAAAATAAATGAAATCAATAGCAAGTGTAGGACACTTTTAATGACCTGAACTACTTAATTTCCAGGATCTTTAGACATGTCATCCATCACCGCAGTATGGAGAAAGACATCTCTTGAGTGTTTAGGGGGTTACTTTGGTTTTATTAATGCAAGATTTAGGGAATTTTAACAAGGTGAATTGTTTATTTGCCTTGACAGATTGGCTTACAATGCACTGCTACATCTACAGCATGATCATTAATGACAAAAGACAGGCGAAAAGCTGTTTACACTGCAACACTACGCCAGGAATTAATCCCACTCAGCCTCCCCAAACAGAGAACGCCAAATAGATGGTCACATTGTTTCAGGTCAGATAGAATACAAAAAACTCCAGAAATCTGTGAATATTTATTCCTGTGAAATGTTCACTGAACATTCTCAAATAAGATTTTCCATAAAGCAATGACTGATATGTACTTCAGGACTTAGAGGGATAAACAGGGCAATACTGAGGAGTTAGTTAAGCATTCAGTTATGCTGTTGTTGCTGTTACGTGTCATCGAGTTGGTACCAACTCATAGCGACCCTGGGCCAACTTCACAGTTGTTGCCATGCTTGAGCCCACTGATGCTGCCACTATGCCAATCCATCTCGCTGGGGGTCTTCCTCTTTTTCTCTGACACTCCACCTTACCAAACATGATAGCCTTCTCCAGTGACTAGTCGGTCCCTCCTCACAATATGTCCAAAGTATGAGAGATGAAGTTTGGCCATCCTGGCCTCCAAGGAGCACTCTGGCTGCACTTCTTCCAAAATGGATATATTGGTTCTTTTGCAAGCCCATGGCATTTTCAATATTTTCCTCCAGCGCCATAACTCAAATGCATCAATTCTTCTACAGTCTTCCTTATTCACTGTCTAGCTTTTGCATGCATATGTGCTCACTGAAAATACCATGGCTTGGGAAAGGTGCACCTTAGTCCTCAAGCTGACATCTTTGCACTTCAACACTTTAAAAAAGTCTTGTGCATCCGATTTGCCTAATGCAATATGTCGTTTGATTTCTTGACTGCTGCTTCCATGAGTGTTGATAATTGATCCAAGAAGAATGAAGTCCTTGACAACTTCAATCTTTTCTCTGTTGATAAGAATGTTGTTTATTGGTGCAACAGTGAGGATTTTTGTTTTCTTTACATTGAGATGCAATCCATACGGAAGGCTGTGCTCTTTGATCTTCATCAGCAAGTATTTTAAGTCCTCTTCAATTACAACAAGCAAGGTTGTATCATCTGCATATCACAGGTGGTTAATGAGTCATCCTCCAAACCTGATGCCATGTTTTTCTTCATAGAACACAGTTTCTCATATTATTTGCTCAGCATACAGGTTGAATAAGTATGATGAAAGAATACAGCCCTGTTACACATCATTCAGTGTTCCTATGTTCTGTTCAAACAACTGCCTCTTGGTCCATGTACAGATTCCTCATGAGCACAATTAAGTGTTAATGCTAAAAAAAACCAAACTGTCTCTTGGTCCACGTACAGATTCCTCAGAAGCACAATTAAGTGTTCAGGAATATTCATACTTCACAATGTTGTCCATAGCTTGTCATGATCCACACAATCGAAAGCTTCTGTGTAGACAATAAAGCACAGGTAAACATCTTTCTGGTATTCCCTGCTTTCAACCAAGATCCATAGGACATCAGCAATGATATCCCTCGTTCCACAGCCTCTTCTGAATCCGGCTTGAACCTCTGGAAGTTCTCTCTCAATGTATGCTTGCAGCCATTTCTGTATTTTTGAAAATTCACTTGATGATTTCTGTATTCCGTTGGGTCATCTCTTTGGAATGGGCACAAATATGGATCTCTTCCAATCAGCTGGCCAGGTAGTTGTCTTCCAAATTTCTTGGCATAGATGAGTGTCTCCAGTGCAGCCTCACTTTCTTGAAAGATTTCAATTTGTATTCTATCAAATCCCGGTGGCTTGTTCTTTGCCAATTCCATCAATTTAAATGCACCTTGGACTTCTTCCTTCAGGATCACTGACTCTTGATCATATGCTACCTCTTGCAATGGTTCAGCAACCATTTCCTTTTGTGTGTTCCTTCCATCTTCTTTTGATGCATTCTGTATCATTCAATAATTTGTCCAGAGAATTCTTCAATAATGAAAGTCAAA